CAGACAACCTCTCGTCAATATGCGTTTTTCGCATTGCATTGCTGCAAAAAACGCATAAAAACTGCAAATCTGTTGATGCTTTGTAAGTGGATATTTTCTGCCAAAAACTGCCAAACTATCAGGCAATTTGTAGAAGTATGTTTATGGGCAAGGACTTAAAATTGGCTTAGCTGGGCCATATAGATTGCACTCGTTTTCGGACTTGGGCGAGTGCCGCGAAACTCGTTCTATCGTTTTTTTTTATGCGTTTTTTGCAGCTTTGCAATGCAGAAAACGCATATTGAGAGAGGTTGTTTGTATGTCTGCGCGTCCGTGTGTGCGTCTGTCACGGTTATTCATCTCAAGACTTACAAAAGCTACAGGGCTGAAACACTGAGAATCTAATCTACATGCACGTATGGGCCCCAATTCTCAAAACGGGCGTCATTACCCGCTTGGTACCCACATAAAAGTCCGCCAAAGTTTTTTACGGGTAAGCTGCTAACTTGGAAACCAGAAATGCTTGGGAGCTGAAATTTTAAGGGGATGTTCCCCGTCCTAGTAGGTGTTAATGAGCTCAATCTCAGCCCAGTTACCAGCGTACGGGCCAGTGAAACTTTTTTCGGGTAAGTTGACAACTCGGGGATCTGAGAAGCTAGAAAGCTGAAATCTTCAGGTGATGTCCCCTGTCCAAGTGGGTATTAACAAGCCCAAACCCAATCCTCGAGTAAGAGTGGTACCCACGTACGGGCCCGTGAAAATTTTTTTCCAGTAAGTTGATAACTCGGGAATCTGAAAATCTAAAGGACTGTAATTTAAGAGAATATTCCCCGTCCACCTAAGTCTCGCCCTCGGGTATGCGTGGTACCCACATCGGTTCACCAAATCTTCTCTCGGGTATGTTGCTAACTCGAGAACCTGAAAAGCTAGAAGACTGTAATTTTAAGATGTCCCCGTCCACGTAAGTCTCAAAAAGCTCAAACCAAGACATTGGGTATGTGTGGTACCCACGTACAGGCCAGTGAAGGTTTTTTTCAGTAAATTGGGAACTCAAGAGCTAGGAAAGCTAGAAAGCTAGAGGGGGTGTTTCCTGACAGTTTTGGTGGCCAGTCTTAATTTATTTAGCTAAAGTATATGCAGAAAAAACCGGTGCCAGTAGTAACAAAAACTGCGGGGAACTATGCAAAAAACGCATCTTCGCACGGGCAGTCCGTGCGTTGGCCAATTATTTTCTCTAGGTGAGGCGCCAACTATCACCTTCAAAACTTCTAACTTCTTTTGAACATGCTGCCTGCGCAGTGCCCACAGCTGCAGACAAGCTGCTCTTTTGGACAAGAACTGAGTTAGAAACAAGTTGCTGTGTAAACAAAACGATCCTGTTTATCTTGGCAATGCCAGTAAATTCCTTAAATGTATTGGCTTCTTTGCTGAAAATATGAAATTCGATTAAAGGTTTATACTCATTTTGTCATCAAATTTTCTCACCAACCTTATTTGATTGAGCCAATGACCGAGAACTTTTGAACCGATCTGCCTCTCGCGCTCCCATCTGAAGAAATCTATTTTAAAAAAACATCAAAAAGTCAGATTCTTTCTAATAGGTACTGGCAGAACTCGAAAGACTCCCCTGAAAGATTCTAGAATTTACAGAATGAAAATACAAAAATTACCGATTAAGCTGGCAA